GACTGTAGTATATGTGAACTACTGCTCCGTATGCGTTAAGGGAAAATTGATCTGAGGTTCTGAAATGCAAACCACAGCGGCAACAGCACGCAGCATCAACACACAGTGGCTGATTTATGTCAGTGGTTCATATCAATTAGTAGAGCGCTTAGAGGGGACGGTAGCATCCAAAGCCATGATTGATGACCGCCGTTTATATCAAAGCAGTCATTTTGTTATGACTGTCAGCTGCATCACTTTTATTGAGCTTTTGTTTTATGGCAATAGTGCTTAGATTTATTATGATAATAAAAAGTGTTGTCTGCCCTCTGACAGGCTTGCTCAATTCAAACACATTTCTTTTTAGCCATCACGAAAGCCAGTGACCCACCATAGACCCACTGGTTTTAGTCCTTACCTTTCCTGATTTGGCAGAGAAAACTCTAGTTTTTGAAAAAGATGAGATTTAATAGTAAAGAACGAGAGAACTTGGTGTCTCCTCTCGGGTCCCAGCAGCAGTGAAAGTTCTACAGTGTCTGTAAAGTTCATGTAGCAAGGAAGTAAATTAAATCCTGCCAAGGCTTTTGGTCTATTTAATTAAAGCTGGAGCAACTTAGTGGGATTGAATTAAATTTTTGGCAGGGGTAAACCAATATGCTGGGAAGGTGGTGGTGGGTGGTTGTAGAGCAGTGGGGTGGGCTGGACTGTTCATGAAAGATAAGCAGTGAGACCATCTTTTTTCAGCTTTATTGAATAAATATTTTCCTTCCAAAACAACTAAGGATGTTTGCGTGTCCTCTGTGGCAGTGCCATTTAATTTAGCAAAGTAAAAAGTGGATCACGACAAAGTTTGCCTTATCTGATAGGAGAAATGAATTTTTAAATAAAATGGACTACTGATGTGGGGCTTGGTTCCTCTGCTTGTCAGAGTTCAATCAGCCGACTCTCCTCGGCCTGCCTGTGAAGACGTGGTCTCAGCTAAGGTTAATCCATGAGCAAAAGGTCCCTCTAGATTAGAGGAGGCTGCAGATCTTTCTCAGCATAGGGTCAGGGATCACACACCAGCTTCTATGGAGAGCAGGCTGTTTTATTTCCTCAGTCTTTATCCAGCTGCTGATGCTGAGTGGGAGGAAAACTTCACGGTAAACCCTCTAAGGCTCAAGGTGAAATTGATTCCAGCCCGCAGTGGATGTTCTGAATGGGCTTAAGTTCAAGCTAAATATTCCAATGGATAAGAAGCAGCTTATGAGCTGCAGGAACTCATTCTCACCCTCATCAGCTTCATTTCATCCTCCCTGACAAATAAAAGCATGTGTTTAATTTAAGATAATAGGGCTCAGTAATGGGCGGTGGTCATTTTTTGTTTCATTTTAAAGTTGAAATCAATTTAGTATGACAACAGAGCTACATCCTTAATTTAAATGTGAGTCTGAACAACAATTCTACAGCAATAAACATCGCACTAAGTTGAACCTACTCGCTGTCCTTCAGTTAATTTTTACTAACTTGAGATAAAGTTACGTTAATCCAATCCCCTCCTTTTAACATAACTCAAAATAAGAATTACAAAAACTGTTTTCCTCCCAAATGTTATTCAGAATTTGTTTTAATAGAACTGTAATGAGAATGTAATCTTATTTTTAAAGAATTAAACTGTTTCTAAATGTCTTTTTGTTTTCAGTTTGCAAGATGGCCTGTAATAAATAAGATGCACATAAAATGGGGTGGCCTTGAGCTAAACTCAGACAGGTATTAGTAATCTTTGCAGAAAATGTGCAGTGTATATAAACCTAGGACAACTATGAATGTACAGCCTTTAAACTCTGGGTGGCAGTGTTGATGCAGTGACACCTTAGACAGCTCTGGAACGACAGCACGCTTCTCTTATGGAACCAAATATTTACATACTTTTGTTCCTCCTGCTTCTTCTGCTGGTGGTACAATGTCACTACATCTGTTACACAGCGACTTTTTTCAGAATGTTACATTTGAATTGTCCTTTCAAAATTCTGCAATGAAGGTCTGCTGTGACTCTGAAGTATAAATTATGTGCATCTGCTTCTAAGCAGCTTCATATCATTACCACTGCCACGTCGATATTACCATCAATATATAGTTTATACTCAGTTATATGAAATTAATAGTGATTTTAACATTTCTGATGCATCAGATTAATTGAAAGCGGCTAAAACTCAATAATATAAATATTGTCTTTCAGCCACAATAATAATATTACTGTAATACAAAGGCTGCCTAGAATATCTGGGGATGTTTAAATATAGTTTTAATGGTTTATGTGAAGTATTATTAACTCGTACTAGTAGTTTGTTTAATTATGATTACTGATGATTGTAATATCTAAAATATTAGTCTAACAAAAACCCTAATGTTTGATTATATCAAGATAAAATGCATTTACTTTCAGAATTCTTAACGAATTTATAATTAGAATAAAAATATGTTTGTATAAGAAGAATTACATAAGAAATAATACGGAAATTTGTCTCTATGTTTTGTATTAATTTACATTTACAGTGGAATATTATGAACATTAGTCTGATTAGTTTGTATTTGGGGACAAATTAAAATAAAAAAAGAATATTAATATTTTTAAAGATACTACCATATGGAATAATTTCAAGCAAACACGTAGCTCTGCATGATTGCTGCCATGTAATTTTATCTCACATGTAACTGTTCAAAGTGATGCCCTCACATTATGTATTCAGTGATTATAGGGAGCTTTAAGCATTTCTGAGATCAAATGTATTCCTCCTCAGTGTATCTGTAGTATAAGGAGGTGATTTAACTGATAATTTGTTGCATGTTTTATGAAGTATGTTTTGTCTTTACTGTGAACTGCGACTGTATTACAGTTATGTTTTGGATCACAGAAGAACATGAGAGGATTTAAGCCACGTTCAAACACCTCTGCTTTGAATTACATATATTCTGTTACTACAAAGCCATTATAAGACAGCGTGGCATTAAGATCTCTGTGGGCAATGTCAGAAACGTACTAATGTAATTTCTTCAGTGTCTTTCACTTCTCTTCTGGCTCAAGTCAATACTAAGCTTATATGGAGATCATTACAGTAAGGGAAAGCTGCTTTCTCAGTGCCTTGCCATTTTCTTCCATCTGCATTATAGTCACCTGAACATGATCTGAAGTCAGCTAAAGGGACCTGGAATCAGTACAGTCAAAAAATCAGTGGAAGCAAATAAATCACCCTTCCTCATTTAACCCACGAGAGTCCTGCTGCACAGCTACAGTGGAGCAGCGCATAATAATAAAAAAGGCATGTTTTTATGACAAATAACATTTTCAATCCTCGTTTCTCCTCCAGCTTTACTGACTCCATGCGTCACATCCATGAGGCACCTCTCCCCATGCAGCTTTACTCTGTTCTTGTGTGCTGTAAATCCACACGAGCACATCTGCAAGCCAGATCTTTTTCTGTCCTTCGAGGTTTGTAACTTTCTTTGTACAAAAAGCAATTTGACAATTTTGTGTATATTTGAAATTTTTATCATGCTTTGTCTTCGGGTGTCTTTCCATGCATGTCAGCACTTTGCATGTGAAACAAAGCAATAATTTTTTGGCATAATTTCTGTGGTTGTTTGTGTATCCCTAAGGCATCTGTCTCCACGCCTGTCATCGTGTCATATAAAAACCAGTCTGTGTTTTATTCTTTGCACAGCATAAGATACTGAATTTTTATTACTAGTTTCTGGAGCAGGGGATGGATTTTATACTACTCTAAGGAAATTTCAAAAATACGACGATGGCTTGCAAGATGCACAATAAATTCAAATGTCACTTATGCAAAATACTGCTGACATCTTGGAAGAGAGTCATCTCATTAAAATGGCAGAAATCTCATACAAGTTGTATGTGTTATGATTATTAATATGCATATTTATTTTGTGTAAAGCATTTTTATTGATTGTTGGAAAATCATTTCCAGTAATGTCACTGCCTCACTCCGTTGTGCCAACTTAAATCAACTTACTGCAAACACAGCTCAATTTTAATTATTTTGGAAGATTAATTGTGATGTGTTTTTAAGATCTTAAGAACTTTGAGCCAACATCACATCAACTGATTACGGTTTTACGACACAGGAGGGAAACGCTTTCACTTGGAAGGAAGTTACATTTCACTTTAGCTTTCTTTGGCTTACCTAACTGACACCGAGCCCTGCTCAACAACATGATTTCTTTCACATGATGCATGAATAATGTATAATCTGAAATTTGCTACAAGAAATTGAATAAATCAAATATCAGCATATATTTCTATCACCTCTTTCTTGACTGATCAAATCAATGAAATTCATCATGTAGCAGCTTTACATATGCAAATGTCACCAGTGTTTACTGAGCAAAGAAGAGTCAGTGCAGCCAATACTTATTGATTACCCTATTCAGTCAGTGGTAGATTTTAATTCATGATCATAGAAATTATGAAAACCTTTCGCTTTAAAACAGCACATAGGCTTAAAAACTGCATCTGGCCATTGTCATAACACTGACCTATAATCTTCTGAATCACTCTGTGACTGGATGCAGACAGTTGCTATGCAGGGCATTATATTTAATTATAATAAATTGTAAATCCTTCTCATTTTTCCTACTTTTTAAAATATTAGACTGCAGTATTTAACAGTAGGAATAGAACAATTCCGTGAGTTTTGATAGCAATAATAATATAGCTCAAGCTCTAAAATGGGTTTGCTGTAAAACCTCTGAAAAGGGCAAAAAGTAAACACGAAATTCTGTTCATTAAACACAACTGGTAGAAAAGAAAACGGTTTTATTCTGATCAAAATTAGTTTAAAGCTTAAAGTCAACATACAGTACAGAAAACTAATAATAACAGCGGGCCATCTAATCAGAAAACAGCCTACAACCGCAATAAAAATGGTAAAGTCTTCACTCTGTCATTAGTTTTCCTGTTATGTACCAGATTTTCAAACAAACAAACAAAGGCAAAAATAAAAACAAAACGTTAAACTTACTTTATTTGCCCTGCCTTAATCTTCACCTGTTACAGCACCTAAAGTCCTGTAATGGTCCATAGGAGCCTTGCGGTGAAACCCGCACGTTTGCGTTCCGTCTGATAAAAGCACAAGCAGCAGGTCTATTCACATCGACACGGCACCGAGGATAAGCTGCTCCATCTTTTATAAATGTCCCACATGGTCCCAAAACACCTAATTATCGCTAGGTAATGCAGCGTGGACGGCCTTTCTCTCGCTGATTGACAGCGGACTAAATTTAAGTTGCTCTGAAGGGGATCAAGAGTCGCTTTGGCGCCGGACTACATCCACCATTTAAACATTTTAAACCCCATCTCATAAAATATACACATACTGTTACTTCTTCTCTTCTATATCAGCCTGGCTGGACAGCTGTAGCGCAAAGACGCGTGGCTGATTTTCTGTGTTCACCGGTGCCCCCCTCTGTCTGTGTTTTTTTTGGTTTCGCCCAAACTTGGTTCAGATTTGACTTGGTGTTCGCTGCTATCTGGGATCGCTCGGTTGGAGGCGAAGGACCGCTTGTCCCCTCTCCGCGTTTGGTGTCAATGGCTTTCGGGACGCATTCCATTTGAGTGTCTGGGCCTCGCAAGTGACCAATAATGGATATTCTTTGGATATTATGGACCCTACCGGCCGTAATAGCTGTCGAAGGTAAGCTAATGTTGTCATCCCAGCGGTCTAACCCGCATCCTCTTGCCCCGGCTTTGAGTTTGAGACAAAGCGCATGAATGGACGCTCCTGCTTTCCATTTAGAGATGCAAACGTTAAATAAGCACCGTGGTGTTTACGGCACCTAAATGTAGCTTAGATACAGCTCAAAACAGCCACTGAAAGATGATGGTGGGACACAAAAACACGCTCCCGCATCTCCACAGATGCTGATAGCGTTAATTGCGTAGGTGCGTGAACGGGCTTTTGTATTGAACAGACACCAGGTGAGAAAACGTTGTCTCGGGCAGGCAGGTAGCATTCAGCGTGGCCGTGGAGGTGTGTCGCCGGTCGTCAAACTGATAAAACGTCTAAGACAAACAAGGGCGGTTTTCCTAAACATTTTAAGAGACTAAATATGCAGATAAACGCTCGGAGCATCGTGCACTTTAAGTCCGAACAGACTGTCAGGTCGTCAGTCACAGGGAGCTCGGATCAGCCGCGTCAGGCTGCAGGCAGCGCCGCTCCACACACAATGAAACAGGTTGAATGGTGGAAATAATCTCTGGAGTGAGTGTTTTACTGTAGTAGTCTGTGTGTGTGATGCGTAAAACTAACGGTTTAGTGTGTAACAATACTTATTGTTAGACTATTTACTAGAGTGTGGTACTTTCTGGTAGGAACAGTGGGAGCTATGCGTATGTTGGGCTCTTTTCAATCGTTTAAAAATGATTTGGGAATTATAAAAAAAGCACATTTTATTGCTCCCTTTAAGGCTGAAGTTTATAATTTCCTTGTGACTTTTAATTGTAAACAGGGCGTTGCTGTAAATGAATGCTCAGTCCAACCTACCCTGTATAAATAAATATATTTGCAGGTGATTTTGTGCAGCTGGTAGCCCTGTAACAAACAGGACAGGAGACATTTACACTGAAGAACAGAGAGTGTCAGCTCAGTCACACTGTCCAGTTTATTCAGGCTATTTTGAGGAGGCTGTGTCTTCTTCCTCTGGTCAACTTGACTAAACCTCATAATTGAAGGTGGAACTAAGAAACTATGGAAAAACCCAGCCAAATGTAACCGCAGGATACAACAACAACAACAACAACAAGAATAAAATCCCAGAAAACACTTAGCTGCTGGTTTTCTGTAAAAACCCATTTGACCATGTGAACTAACATCCCAAATTCGTGTAACAACAACTCGTAAGGTCCCATGTAGGAGTGGCACAGACTGATAAACGCCATGTGTATTCATGCAGACTGACTGCTGCTGTTTATGGGTTCAGTGTAGTTACATATCCAAGGTTTAAAACCCATCAGCCTTTATATTAAACCCCGGCAACTTTAAAATCTGTATTATAGCCTTTAAATGTTATTCAAGATTTGATCAGTTGACACTGTTCCTGAAAATTGTTACCAAACCAAAATAAATTATACTTAAATGCCACTTGGTTTTCTAAATAATGTATTGAATATTATTATATGTCTGCTTTTAATATAATATATGGTGAATATTATATGCAAAATATGTTCTGCATTTCTGTAGTCATTCCATATAATTGTGACTATGATTGTTTTTCCTTTAATTGCTGGAATAATTATTGCTTGAATGTTGTTATAATGCTTATTTGTGTTTTTAAATTATTTTTGTCCTTGCCCTTCTGTCATAGAGCAAGGGAAAAGGCCAAAAATAACAGATTCACACTACACCGTGTTCCACTTCCCCTTTTTTTCTTGTCCTCTAAAATGGAAACGTGACCGTGGTTTCTGTTTCTGTACATGTAAAATCAACCGTGGAGGGTATGTACACCAGTCGGCACAGTTCCTCAAATAGTTATTTCAGTGTGTTGAAGTAAATAAGTGGCTTCACTTAAGAAACGTGTTTATTGATACACAGTATGTATATTGCAGTACCTTCTGGGCCTATGCTGTTGTACTTTCTGATCCAGAAACCCTCTAGTTCTGTCGGCCAACATGGCTCAGCCCCCCCCCCTCCTTTGTACCCTGTGTCACATTCACCGACTGTCCAATGGAGTTGCAAGGATGACTTGCGTATGAGAAATGAAGGGTTGAAAAAGAGGTCACTGTAGCTCTAATTCGGGATAAAAAAAAAAAATCCCAGCATGCAACAGAAAAGAACCCCCTAGTCTATTGTTTTGACACGTTTACTGCCGGAAACTACATTTCTGGCTTTATTTTTGTTTAACAGAGAATGACGTCTTCGTGTACTTCTTGTTCTTACTGACAAACATTATTAATAAATGTGTACTTCTGTAACACTGGATTTCATTAATCGCTCATCTCCGAAACACTATACTGTATGAACTGAGTGGAGTATTCGTAAAATCACAATTCCTACATTCATTGAAGTATCCCTGATCTCTGGAGAGCAAATGGGCCACATAGAATAGAAATAATCAATGAACCAGGCAGGGACCATAGCAGAGAGGGTCGGAGGACTAATTTAAGACAATCCTAGCTGTGTCCAAGTAAGCACTTTGTGAGTACTGTGTCAGCACTACTAACCACATAATATCTGTAAAGTGGTCCGTGGATGCTATTGGCCAACTTTAGCCTTTTGACCCCTTCTCTAAGCCTTTTCCTCTTTTTAGCCTGCTACGCTATGTCACCTCTCTCAATATCGCCTACGTAGCTGGACATGTATAAATTGCATTCAGTCATTAGTGGTATTTGACTGTTTTTCAAATGTGAAGCAACTCTAAATGGTTGATTAGCGTTAATATAAGCCGCCAATGATGCCATGTCTTATTGGTTTAGTTAACGAGAACCTACTTGCCCCTTTCGAAAATTAATGGAGGTAGTACTGCCAAGAAAATTAGCCTAGCAATGTCAAACATGACTATGAAAACACACAGTGGATTTATCTTTTCATTAGCTTACCCATTCATTGTCATCAGCGCCCAGTTGACAGCCATATAACAAGAGCGTCATCTAATTCTGTTGAGTGGAAATTCTTAGATTCATCCCCAGCCATAAAATTGCAGCAGGCTCTGTTGTTCTGAGGGGATGAAATTTACAAGACGGGTCATTTGTCTTTTCTGATTTCTGCCCCCACCCATCTCCTACAGTGGTATTACACTTTGTACTGTGTAAACACAGCAACGGTTTTCTGGGAGGACTGGTGTTGCTATGATGCAATAACATCCTCCTCCAGACTTGTATGCAAGTTGTTTTGGGGGTCAGCAGGATGATAGATCACTCTGATACAATATTTTTCCCCTCTTTTACTTTGAAGGAGACATAATGGGACACAAACCACAGCAGAGGATGGTGAAGTGGGGTAGAATGAGACCGCGGTGTAGAGTCTTTAAAACTCGTCTCGCACATTTGATTACATTTCAGTGTGTGCTGCATTCCTTCAGTACTCCGGTGAGCACTGGAGCCCCCACACAGTTGGAAGCTGGCAAACTCTGGTTGATGCTGTAAAATGTTATGATTTACTTTGGTAAATTACACATTCTTTGCATTTTGCATCACCCTATCAATACCATTTTCTCACATAATATAAGGCGGCTTGACAGTTCGAGGCACAATATGATTGTTAATCTTTAGAAAATCCTGCCAGGTTTGGTAACGATGTTTTCATATGTAAATGAAGGAACTGTTTTTGACCGGAATTGTTTTGTAAGGAATTGATGTGCGAGTGTAACACGGAGGCATTATCATTTGTGGGAGACTAACAAAAGACAGACGGAAGCTGGGCTCCGAAATGGGTTTAGATAAAGGTAAAATGAGCGGCCGTATACAATCCAGTGTTTTCTCAGTCCAGCCAGTGAACAGATGCAGAGAACTGGCCTGTACAGCAGCCACCACAGTGGGCTTTCACAAAAAATCTGTCTCTATTCAAGCCCTAATCCACACTGCAGAGGGCCCAGGCATTGTCACTTTGCATGCAAAATTTCAATTAGTGCTGGTACCAGTTGTTTCACTTGATGGGGGTGTGTCACATTTCATCTACGACTACCTCTAGGGTGAGATTAAGGAAGAAGTACCATCACTTTGCTTAAGAAAATGTATTGTTCTCATACATTGTGTGAGGTTACTGATACTCTTACTGAGCTGCTGTGCTTTATGTCAACTGTACATTGTGTGAGGATACTCGTACTGAGCTGCTGTGCTTTATGTCAACTGTACTGTACGTTTTAGACCTTGGACACATTACTAGAGGAATGAATATGCTGCAAAGGTATTTAAGTCTGAACATGAAAAAAAGCTTCACAGCGGAGTTCTGACTGTTGTACAATATCCCTGTGCACAGCCAGCAAAACAACTGTATGTGTTGCTCCGTGCTCTAGCTTGTTCAGCCAGTTTAACTAAAGATTCATTTCACATCGGACTGTTTGATTATGTTTCCATGCTCATGAGTCAACTCTTCATTCTCTCCTGGCCCAGTCCACACATGCAGTATTTGGTCTCTAGAGGTGATTCAAAGATGGCGTTTCAGCTTGAGGGATGTGTTTGATGAAAGAACTTAAGTTTAAGAAATTCACCTGTGGATTCGAAACGGTATCAAAGTAGTATTGATAAGACTTATGGATGTCGCATGTATGGACATAGAAAGGTTTACAGGAAACCAGCGGATGTTGGATGTTGTTACTGTCCCTGCTTAACCTGAAATATTTGCGTAATCTATTCAGCATGACTTTGGTTCTGATTGTTGCTGCAACACAACTTTCACAGATGGTTCATGTAACATATTTGGATCAAATTTCCATTAATTTCTCAAAGTACACAGCCAAGGTGTCTAAGGATCTACTTACTGAAAATATAAATTTCACTCCCACATTTGGTTGTGCCATGTTGTGCATTTAAAAACTCAATATAAACTACTAAATGACAACTTCAGTCATCAAGCCAAAATTCAACAACCTTTAATGCTTAATGCTACTGTACAGGTATGAACTGTTCAGTGATGCCCTTTATAGTAAGATATTCTTGCAGTAAACCTTATGGATCTTTTTCCTGTCCAGCTTTTAAAGT